AACGCGTCGGAGCTGACCGTCAATGTGGTTCACGAAGGACGTTTGACACATAGAATTCTGGTTCTCGGTTGTGGAGTTGCAAATGTTGTAACCGACTTGAGGACCACGGATAGCAGCGGTATTGTAGTCGACTTGGTATGGCTAACGCGGAATGAGTACTATTGATCTCATGCTGCCACAAAGTGGACTCACGATACCAGACGGGTAAGCATAATGCTTGTCAACGAGAGGAGTCGGGTCGGCAGGGTCGGGCTGAGCGTTAACAAAGGCAATGCGAGAAACAGCTGCAACAGCCAGGAGGGCAGATGAAAGAGCGGAAGGAGACATGATCTCTAATTATACTAAGGTTGGGTTACTATGATCTGCAACGAAGGACGAATTTGGACGACGGGCGTTGATGAAAGAAGAAGAAGGTTGATCATGAGCGTCTGCTTATTCCGACCTCAAATAGCTTTCGGTTATTTCCACTTGTCAGCCAATGGCCCTGGTGCACTGACCATACCACGTGACAAATACGCGTCGCGTTTAAACCCCGACGCGACTACGTTTAAAGATCGATTAACCCTCAATTCGGCCATTCAATCCCTCCTCATCCCAACCACCATGGCAAAAACTGCAACAGGTCTGTTCAACGCGTATCTATCCCTTTACTTTTGCTCACCGTCCCCTAGAATCAACAACAAAGGCCGCAACGAAACGCGCCAATGCCAAGACCTCCAAAGCTGGTTCGTCATCCCTTTATATGTGTTCTTCGTCCCACTTACCCACCAACAGACAAGGAGGACAAGCCAAAGCGCGCCCCAAGTGCATACAACCTCTACGTACAAGCCCACATGAAAGAGTGGAAGGAGGCAAATCCCGGCGCACCCATCAAAGAAGCTATGTCTGAGGTGCGTATATGCGCATATATACGCCTCTCTTATGTCTGACGCGCCTCCAAGATCGCAGTAATGTGGCGGGACGCACCTGAAAACCCCAATCGCGGCAAAGAGCCAAAAGCCAGGAAGCCCAAGGCTGCCGCCGCACCTAAAGCTAGCCGCAAGAAGAAACAAACACCTCCGCCCTCAAGTGACGCCGAGAATAGTGCTGAGGCCAGCGAGTAACTTATCATGTATGTTTTCTTCTTTTGTGCTATCACGCTCGCTGACTTCTGCAGCCCCCTGCTTCCCTTCCGTTGCTTCTGACATTACATTTCCCCGTAATCATTCACTGTACGCTTCCGCATTTCTTCCGAGTTGTAGAGCCGTGTATATGCTACGGTGTAGCTATTTATTCAGATAGACGTCACCGAATACACATTGACATTGTCTCTCCACCGTCGTGCTTGATCACACGGAAAGTTCGACCATCGACCTCGCGCCATGTCCGACCAATCATGTCGCTGCGAGATACACCACTTGCGCATTCGATCATAAAAACCAATTACTATATTGATTGACGGAACTCCCAGCCTAGTTCATGTGCATGATCCCGGATCCTTGCTTTGTACACTGCTTAGTGGATGTATGCCGCGTCGGTCTTACCTATGGCATGGCTGATTCAGGCTAGTGTTATCAGATAATCAAGCCAGGGAGAAAGTGAGACGGCAAGATGGCCGAGCGGTCTATGGCGTGTGACTCAAGCGAAAGCTTGCCTGCAAAGTTCAGGTTTCTCATCCTCGTAAGAGGGCGTGGGTTCAAATCCCACTCTTGTCATCGTTTTTGGACGATTCACGTCTTTCTGAGATTCTACACAGTCAAGCGCCTTGCAGAAAAACATTCATAAGCCTGAAGAAGACTTGAAGAAAGCAAGGAGAGAATGGACAACGTCGGTGCATCCAGCTGACACGTCGCTCTTCGCGTGCGGTGAACTCCAAGTTGTGTGTCATTACTAAACACAGCTGTGGTGTTTCGTTGTTACACACAACTTGAAGTTCACCCTAGCGGTTCGCCTGTAAGCATCTTTAGTTGTGCTCAATCCATTCTCCCCTAGTCAGACCCATGAGACAGTCAAACAACCTTTGCACTTCGATATCTCCAGGTAAGCCAGACTTCAAACCCAGTCCAAGCAACTTACGGTCATATTTCAGAGGTTATTTCCTCTGCCTGACTGGATACATTGGTTCCCGACATATCCAGCTCCAGTTTCTCTCTCAAGAACTCGTTTGCGGACGATAGCTACTGGCGATTTTCGCACCTTGCATACGCTCCCAATTTTTCTCGATTCCCGTTGCTGCTGCACCGCCAAGTCAGTTTCAAGTCTTGCTGGCTGTTCGCCACCGGCGCCGGACCCTTTTTGGCCTTCCTTGGTTCCTTCAATCCCTGAGGAAATGAGGTACGAACACGGAACCTTACGGATATCACAAAAGACCTCGACAACCGCAATAATCACTATGTAGCTCCCCACTCCTAATGTTGACTTTGACTTTCAAGATCAGTAATGTGGTTTTTCCTCGCGAGCTTGGTCCTATTGTACCTACCCACTCGTTGCAATCTAGAGCATTCCTTATTCTCGTGTGAGTTATCATCCCGCACCGCCGGTGAGTTTTTATTAGCCGCTCGTCTTCCTTATTTTTTAACTTCGGAATACTTAGGCGCTGGTATTCTCGTTCCAGTCAACTTAACCCTCCGCTCGACACCTTTACGGCCACGAGTAGGCTTCGCCCCCCACCTCCCCTTAAGCTGCCTTTCTTAGTCGTCTTTCCAACACACTTGTGTTGTTGCCAACGTTGCACTCGGTCTTTGGACGATTTTGTTTGTACGCGTTGCATTAACTTTTCTACTCAGTGCAGACCATGTTTATTATATATATATAATGCAATAAATCCAGTGGACACTTATCCGAACAACCCTCGTGCTTTTTCACCACCGCAATCGACTCGGAAGGCATTTGAAGACACCGACATACAAGGCCTCCGAGGCTTAGAGTTGCGGCCTGGCGCGGATACTTCCAGTAAGCTCAATCTCTTTGTGAACAATACCCAAACAACACTCGTGCGTTACAGCCACACCAAATGGACACACTGGCCGTGCTTCGAGCAACACTCCCCGTTCAGCGCTGCAGCATTGGTGCATTCTCAGCGAGGCGCCGTCGGTTCCATATGTTCAACTTTGAAATATGCGCCACCCAAACCTCAATCAACTCAGCCTACAACAAGACACTCTGACATGTTTTACAGCCACGAGCAGGCTTCGCAGTTGTGTGCTCGCATTATCGCATATCTCTTTGCTTGTCCCGTTTTACAGCCATGAGTAGGCTTCGGGTTTTTAAGGAGTCAACTTGATGTATTCATCAATGTCACTACTACATGCTAGGATACAAAATAACACAATGTCCGAAGATGATTAACTGCCACGTCAGCGACTGTGAACAGGAAACACCGCGTCAGCAACGAGATCATCGGTAATGAAAACAATACAAAGTTGTAGGAGAGAGTTGTTAGAAGGTCCGACTGATAACAGGGTACCGGAAACCGCGTGACTACATTGCTTTAGATTGCTATATATTACTTTGTATCGTAATGTACAGGAAAGTAGCATTGGGCTTACAAAGTATTACAATATTTACTACTTAATACTATCCGAGTCTAGATCTCACCGGTTTACTGATGGCCACCGACTTGTGTTGATTTGACTGCGCGACTTAGCCATGCTGATGCCATTTCTCTAGACAAAGGACTTTGGTTTGCAGAGGGTGATTTCTTCGCTGCACGTGCCAGCGAGTTGCTCTACAAATGAACTTGCTCAATGTCAAAGACCCAACGATTCATCGTTACACAGGGATTAGTGAACGATCATTGCGATATCTTCGGAAGACGTATCGATATCTGATCGGAGAATAGAAGTTACATAAAATACCGTTGTGCATGTAGTGAATTTTTTCTGGCCTAGCGTTCTGCAAATGGCTGTATTGAATGGAATCTATATCAGATACATAGGTGATATCTCGTTATCAGCTCGCACACGAATCTCTTTTCTGCATGGTCCGCGTTGCCTGAGGAGCGAGTCTGGGAATGCAGAAGCTGTGCGTAGGGAAGTCAGTTGATGAAGCTCAGCAGCGATATTGTAGATGTGGCGGAGATGACTTCTCGGCGGGTATTGTTGGACTCCGAACGATCCGAATGATGAGTAGTATGGTGTAACACCTGCACATTTATTATTTGCGCGTTCCGCACCTTGCGCGGTGCGCGTTTTCGTCAAAAATTGCGCGGTGCGTGTTTCCCACTCCCAATTTTCTTAATCAAATCTGCGCGTTGTCTTTGTATCAGCTGATTGTTTCTACAGCTAGCAGGCCAAGCCACTATATCACACTTAGCGATGATATCTACAAGCACAACACAGACGAGTAAGTCCGTTTCCCACTCCCAATTTTCTTAATCAAATCTGCGCGTTGTCTTTGTATCAGCTGATTGTTTCTACAGCTAGCAGGCCAAGCCACTATATCACGCTTAGGAATGAGTCTCTATTCCGGCTTCCGTTCATTGTGAGTGATGGACATATATTCTACAGTACATGTATTGACGCTGAGTCCTTCAAGCTGCTACAAATATGACGAGACCATGCCAAAGTCCTTGTAAACCAGTACACAATAGTAGCTACTAGCAAGATGTTAGGGCTCAAATACCAGTTTCTCTAACAGAAATTGGCAGGCCTCGGTAATAAAGTGTTCTGCGTGACGGAATGCTGCACCCTCATCGAGAATTTTGAACATAAGATCTTTACAGCCCTCGCTGACACGGCCAAACGACATATCCTTGAAGCGTTTGACGGCATCGCCGTATGGTTGAGGGTTCCTACCATCGAGAAGAAAACGGCCCATACCATTCCACCATGTAGCGTGCCAATCCTCGCTGCAACCGGCCGGGTCATCGCAATCATTCGAGTGCATCAATATTCTTGGTTCCTCCGCAGCCACAATTCGACGATGGTGATCAAGGGCAGCTTGAACATAAACCACATTTAGAAAGACCTCGTTGCCCATCAGCTCCCGGTGTGCATGGGTGATCTCGGTAATGGGAGTTTCTGCGAGTTGCTGAAAAGCAAATGGGAAAAGTGAACGGACGTGATATTTGATAGCCAGGTTTATTAGTTGAGCTGGGTGGAAGCGGAAACGTGCCGCAAACACACGGGAAACAATAAATTCTCGTGCATGACAACATTGGTACATGTCGCAGAAATGGAGGAATTTTGTAAGCTCGTCGAGTGTATATGAGCCGGCACGTATCCTAGTACAGATTGTCAAGTGGCTACATAGAAGAATAAGGGCATCAACATACCTTCCGAAGGTAAGCTCGAGAAACAACTCAAAGGCGTCCCGGGATATTCCTTCGAGGTGAATGGGCTTGTCATCGCTCATGCCGTCCAGCTCTATTTGACCGCTGTTCTGTGTAGCAGCAAACATGTCACGAAAGACGTTGGAAGCCGAAGATAAAATTGAACTGCAGAGCTTGTACAGTATGTTCTCAACCTGCCGGCACAAAATATTTCAAGTTGTGAGTCCAAAATGAAGAATAAATTAGTAAAACACACCTGGAAGATATGGCTTGACGCATGAAAGTAGTAAATAGGGTGTCGAGTTGCCTTTGACATATTGACGATTCGAAAGGATGTACAAGAACAAAGATCAGCTATGAAATAATTAGAACCGTATGTTTGCGACTGTTGTTTGCCTCATCTCACGCGCACACTTTGCTTATGTCGTTTTGGTCATCAATGGTCATCAAACGCTACGGTGGCTACACCATATTCAAGTCAATCTATTGTGATGCCTGCACTACCAACTGCTTTGCCCCAATTTCCGTCTCGCATGCTAAATCAGAATCCGTGGTCTGCAAATATTCGCACTGCCCACGATACTTTGTCAGATATTTACCGACGCGCCCATCGTATTCTTAGTCAAGAAGATGCCGACCCAATCCAGCTCACATTTCATATAGATGCTGTATCAGGGGATGCTATCCCATTGCTTGAAGCCCTCGCACGCGACCCTCAAGGACATGAGATGCAAGATTGGCTCTCTCATACAGCACATTTGCTGGGAGATCTCTTCGTGCTTTTGTCGTCATTTCAGTACAATATGCAGAATCGGTAATCCATCTCTGATATGTATTTTGCGTCATTGATTGTGCAACAGCATGGATGAAAATGTCGTGTTTCCGGAACCAGTGGCCTTGTTGCACACAGGGCGTCCAGGGCGTCCAAAAAAAATGATCGATGTTGGATTCCTCACCGAAGCAGTCTCGACTTCCCGACAAATCAAACTTACTGAGCTTTCTGAAATGCTCGGAGTCCACAGGAACACATTACGACGTTATATGAAGCGCTATGGAGTTGAAAGAAAATACTCGAACCTTACTAACATCGACCTTGATCTTCTCATCACCGAGTTCAAGAAAAAGCGGCCTGATTCAGGTATAAGGTGCATCATTGGTTTTCTCCGCAGGCATGGACTGCGAGTGTAGCATCGACTGATTCAGGTATAAGGTACATCATTGGTTTTCTCCGCAGGCATGGACTGCGAGTGCAGCATCGACGGGTGGTAGAATCGCTCCGCAGAGTCGACAGATTAGGTCAGGTGTTGCGCGACCGACGGGTCAAACGTCGGCGTAAGTATCATGTTAAGCGGCCTAATGCATTGTGGCACATCGATGGGCACCATAAATTAATTCGCTCGGGGATAGTGATTCACGGTTTTATTGACGGTTTCTGCAGAACGGTTTGATATGTTTGTTTGTACAGTTTATCGATTCTCATTTGTATTTCTGCAAGATAACGGGATTGCAAGCAAGTAATAACAATCATTCGACAACTGTTTTGGACGTTTTTAAGCAGGCGACGCAATTTTTTGGGACGCCTTCTCGAGTGCGAGGAGATCGGGGCGGAGAGAATCTCGATATAGCAACTTACATGATAATGAAGAACGGACCACGGCATGCCTCCTTCATGTGGGGATCGTGAGTTGTGATCCCATTGGTTTATGTTATGTAGTACTAACACCCAACGTACTAAGCTCTACTCGGAATACTCGAATCGAACGTTTGTGGGTCGAGGTTGGCACTCAATTCGCTAGGAGATGGAGAGCGTTCTTTACCCGACTCGAAAATTATCATAGGCTTGACCCTCAGGCCGCGAATCACATCTGGTTGCTCCAGAGTTTATTTCTTGATGAAATCAATTTGGATTGCTTAAATTTTCAGGCAGAATGGAACTGTCATCCCATTCGCGGTCCTGACACCAACAATAAGAGTCCCAAGGTAAACTCGCAGTTGAATTTTTGATGTAACATTGACAAATTACTGGACGGACACATAGGATTTACGTTTTTTAGGGCACTTGCAGTTTGGCATCTATCGTGATGACTGTGAAGGTGTGCATCCTGATGTGATTAACGAGTACTACGGGGTCCATGGTCACACGACAACTCGACAGCGTCATCAAACAGGAGCTGGACACCCCGCTGATGAAGAAGACAGCGACTCAGATAGCGATGGCGAACATCCGAGTACTATGGTACAGGCCATCAACAACCAGCAAAGACACCAGATCCGTCACGAGGCCATTAGCGTGCCGTCACAACAGAACCCTTTTGTTGATGACGCAACACGACAGCAGTTTTCCACCACCCTTGATGAAGTTATAGCCAATGATATCACGCCAAACAATTGCAGACTAACGCTAGATGAGTGGGATGGAGATGAATACCCAACATTTGAGACTATTACCTTTGGTCAACGAGGATCAAAAGAACTCCACGTTTCACTTGCTGAACCGATCTGGTTTAATCGAGCGAAATTATGGTGTCAGGCATTATTAGTTTTGTCATATTTTCTAACTGCCAGTAGCGACTAACAAGTACTACACGTCAATGTAAAATGTCATATCCTTGTTAGCTGTATATAAACTGCTGGGCCATCTACGTAATTACCTTGCTTCAGGTCATTTGCACGTCGAGTCTACTGCTTCAAGTCATCTCCGCATTCCCTTTCACCAGTGCCCTCCGACTCCCGAGCCATGGATCCCAAAGGCAACAACTTGAATCAAGAACTCTTCTGCAGAGGCCTCAAGTCGGACAGTCAAATGTGTGACTGTGAGGAGTTTTTCCCTCGCACACAGGATGAAGGCCATTGCGCAGAGTGTGGCCATGGTCGCAGTAAGCACCCCCGCAAAGCTTCAACGAGTCGTGAACCAGTACTGGAAGTTCAAGAGGATGCTGATGAAAAACCTCATCCAAGTTCTGCAGTCGCTATCAAGGATATTTTCACTCGAATCACTGGTGGAAAAACCGTCAATGACAACCTGAAGCTTGCCACTACAGGCAAGCAAGGAAGCCTAGTGCCGCTCACCAGTGCTCGAGAGGAAGCGTTATCAACTCTGACATCAACTCGGCTTGCCGGTTATCATAAGCTGGCCAAGGGCCCAGTACCGTCGGCAGGCTCGCGAAAGGTAAGTGTTATCCTAGTAGTGCACAAAAATATATATTCACATGAAAATTGCGTTCAGGATCGTAAGGAAATCACCAGCTCACAAATGGTTGGAAGCCAAGCGCGCAGGAACACCTCTTCTAGTGTCTCAATGTCGGGGAACACATTTCGTGTTGCATCAGTGGCCATGTTGACTTGCGGTGTTGATGTCAGTCAAGAGCCCTCGAGAGACGGATTAACTCGCTAACTCAGTTTTTGACAGAGGAACGGTCTTATCAGAGTATCCAAAGTCCCAAGCAAGAACGGCCAAAATGAGATCCAGGCGATGAAAAACCGTGGCTGTTACCTTGAACAGCAGTTCATCATCGAAGGTGGATGGACTTATCGCAAGGTCACCAGTCAGTTACGAAGTTGGTTTCCTAAAGTCTTTGATTACCTCGACGGTCAAGTCGAGAAGCGACAATCAGCTACGTTACGTGAAGAGAAGCCAATTTGGCGGCTCCTCAACAAGTGCGGACAAACGCTAACAGTCGTCGATATCGGGTTTCCAGCTGGGAGTGATCTTGCGAAACACAAGGGCCGGGACAAAGCAAGTGTTAGTGATTGTCATCTTTGGTTTGGTGCGTTCTCGTTCATTTTTTGCTTCGTTCAAGTTGTACTCATGAAATACTACTGGCGCTAGTCACAAGGAACCGGATTCCTGACAGCGTTTACGAGTCTTGGAACACTCAACCCGTGATAGCTGGATCGGATTCTGAACGCGACGATTGTAACGATATCCTTTTGTCCGACACCGATGATTCAGTTAGCATCAAGTCGGACAATGATCTTGCAAGTTCATTGATGGAACTTGATATGTCCTCGGATTTGGACGTTAAGGACCCAAAAGGCAAGGGCAAGGCAAAAGCGGCACCTACTAGGTCACCAATGAGAAGCCGGAACGGTGAGTACTATTTGTGATTCAAATTATAGTATTATGTACTCATCTATTTCTATAGCAAAGCGCAGTCACACTCTGCTTTCCCCGTCACCATCAGAAGCCACTAGGAAAGCAGTCCAGAAGAAACTCAAAAAGGGTTCGTCTCTCAAATATTGTGACAACCAAGCTTATTTTATTTGTTGTTCTAGAACCTGCAAGTGACACTGCCGTTCCCTTATTTTCAATGAACTCTGAATCTGCGAGCCCTGAACTCAAACTTCATCCGTCGACCCAGCCCAGCGCTCAATCCAATAGCTATAGTGAGTTTATCATTCCACTCATTCGACATTTATACTACTTGTTGATGAACATCTGCGCTGCTGTTATTTCAGAAACGGTATCGTTTCGTACTATGACTAGTCGAGTGCCAGCTACCCTCAAAGTAGAGAACAAGATATCCGCTCCACCAGACTTTGTGTCGGTCAGTGAAGCGGATGTCCTGTGGCGCGACAAGATACAGGACGATGACCCTTTCGCGGAATACATCAATCCGTGGGACTCCCATTACTCTATGCTCAATCTTGCCAACCTCCGAGTAATTTGAGAGTCGGCATAGGCTATCTCGCAGTGACCAGGTCTGTTTTTTAAATGACAGGCGCGTTAATTTCGTAGTTTTTGTTCTTTGTGCATCGTAGTACATACTAGTATCCTCGTCATTTCATTCCGTATCGCTACATTCAACTTGCACCCTCGTAATGCCTCACCTACTAATGATATCTTGCAGTCAGATACATGATTCACTCGTTACTACTTTGCGGACACTCATTGGATGCAGATGTGTTGTCACTTAGGCTCACCGAGCGCTGGTTCACCAAAGTCGAAATCATCAAGGCTGAGCTTGAGGAAAAGCAGTTCAAGGTCAAACTTACTGTCATAGACACCCCCGCGTTTGGTGACTATGTCAACAACTGCGATTCAACAAAGTCGAAATCATCAAGGGCTGAGCTTGAGGAAAAGCAGTTCAAGGTCAAACTTACTGTCATAGACACCCCCGCGTTTGGTGACTATGTCGACAACTGCGATTCACCGAAGTCGAAATCATCAAGGCTGAGCTTGAGGAAAAGCAGTTCAAGGTCAAACTTACTGTCATAGACACCCCCGGGTTTGCGATTGACCTCATCTCGATGACGAAGGAGTTGCACTACAAGAACTACAGGCAGCAACAGATGGAGATGAGGAATGCTCGCTACTTATCTCTATGCACATGCTCGACCTCATCTCGACAACGAAGGAGTTGCACTACGAGAACTACAGGCAGCAACAGATGGAGACGAGGAACACTCTCTACCTATCTCTATGCACATGCTCGACCTCATCTCGATGACGAAGGAGTTGCACTACGAGAACTACAGGCAGCAACAAATGGAGACGAGGAAGTTTGGGGAGCCCACTCACATCAGCATCTTTGGGCGAGATGGCGGGAAACGGACTTACTCGTCTGTATTGTGCTGGTAGATATCATTCCTAAGCGTGATATAGTGGCTTGGCCTGCTAGCTGTAGAAAAAATCAGCTGATACAAAGACAACGCGCAGATTTGATTAAGAAAATTGGGAGTGGGAAACGGACTTACTCGTCTGTGTTGTGCTTGTAGATATCATCGCTAAGCGTGATATAGTGGCTTGGCCTGCTAGCTGTAGAAACAATCAGCTGATAAAAAGACAACGCGCAATTTTTGACGAAAACGCGCACCGCGCAAGGTGCGGAACGCGCAAATAATAAATGTGCAGGTGTTACACCATAGAGTAGAGCTGTCCGAAGGATCCGAGATGTCAGTGCGAGCGCAATAAAAGGAGTGATGGACGAACGACGCTTTGACGTCGGTTCGTACCAGTCATATATTCCGTTTCTCGATCGATTTATTTTTCGTTTCCATCCTACGTACTATAAAGATACGAGCTGGCCCATATGAGCATCTCAGTTCTGACTACAGACTGAGATGTGAGTACCCGTTATTTTACAGACGCGATACAATCAGTTAACGAGTTTCTAGTATTGCTTTAACTAGGTACAAGACTTGTAATAAAGAGTTCTGACTACAGACTGAGATTATTGCTTTAACTAGCGTCCCTCCCGTCCGCTCGTACCTGTAACTCACTACAGGTATACTATGATATATCATCAACCAATCCCACCATTAGGCCAAACGAATGAACTACAATTCAACTGATGCAAATGCAGCAAGAATTTTTCGAGAGGGTGCGCGAATTAACGACACAGTACATTCTGATAATAGGAGAGCGGCGGTGGCGCAAGCGTGGGTAGCAGCCTGGATGGCACAGGTGAGTTCATTTGTCATTGATCTCGTTCATCAGACTTTTCTGGTAGAATGTAACGTTATTTGGAGATGGATATCGCCCTATGCGATGCTCATTTTGGCCACAAAAACTCTGGATGGTGGTACATCTAGCACGAACACCATCGTCATACGTCCACAAAATTCACTACTCCCCACACCCATCCTATAACAGTATGACAGTGATCTCAAATGATCCCAGTTGGTGGCCAGCTATGTATTCGGGTCTCGTTTACAGCTATTTTGCAGGTTTGTGGAGAGCCAGTCAGATGATGAAGGTGATATCTTGATTTCATCTTGGCTGCGGTTTCGCAGTTACCGCCTCCGCTGTGGTGATGTATGATTTCGGTGAGCGAAATAGTTCTCAAAAACCGCTGATATCCTTATGGTATTACTAGTGCTAACATTCGGACAAGAGGTACGTTGATGTCCCCGAAGCAGTCATCTCACTAAGAATGATTTTATAGGTCGAACTGGTCTGGGTGAGCAGAGTCCCACGCCAGATGAACAGGATGGAAGTACAATTAATTCATGGCAGAGGCAACGCTGGTCCCTGATGACTGTTCTCTATCTCGGTGTATGGAACTTGCATGATACGTGTGGTTGACAAGTTGTGCTGACTTGTATTTTCTAGGTGCGCTATCTTGGAATATTATATGCTGTGTATGTTTGGAAGGCTAAGTAATTGGTGTTGTGCTAATCAATCATTTCTCACCAGTACCAACATGCTGAGTATGTTTCCTCACATACACCGTCTTTATTTCTTCTGACTGGCGGCATGCAGCTGGAGTTCCGACCATCCCGATGACAGATGCAGTGAGTATTCTGTCCTGGTTCCTGCCATTCCCGTCTAATCAACTGCACTCCCACGTAGGGGTGAGTGAGCTTCTTGACCCGCTCGTTGGTTCCACATAATGACTACCACAGCTGTGAGTCTATTAGGAGTGTGTGATACTCCGAGGCTGATCACTGACTCGATTTGTTAGGCATTACCGTGTTCCTCGCAATGGAGTGGACAAATATCGTCGTGTTTGCAATGACAGGCGGTGAGCCACGCAGCTGCAACCCCTCGGTAATACTGGCTCACTGATATATTATGCAAGTCATCATGATGACTCGGTTGTATGCCATGTATCAGCGGTCCAGAACGGTGTTGATACTTCTCATTGTCATCTTGCTAGCTGCCACCATCGTCAATGGAGCATTGAACGAAATAGTAAATAGGCATGCCTCAGGGGGTGAGCTCAATTATGGATGAAGGACTGAAGACAACGAAGCTCATTGACGAACCCCAGAGGTGTACATTCTCTTCGGCACCTATGAGTGTGCTATTGACCAAGGGGAAGGTGCCCAACTTCTGACGCTCATATCTTGGATATTCACCATTGTATGGGAGGTCCTTGCACTGTTTCTCGCAGTCTGGATTGCTGTAAAACGTTTCCGTGAACTGAGACAATCATCTAGAGGAGGGATTATCGAGGACTGTTTTACGGTGTTAATAAGAACTCACGTGGTCTACTTTGCGAGGTGAGCTCGTAATGTGAATGCGGTTGTCCTTTTTCGCTAAAGCTTCACACATGTTAACTTAGCTTTGCTGCTACTGTGGGCATCTGGCTCGCTATGTCGCTTTCAACGATCTCAGCGGTATGTCGATCTATCATTGACCTCTACATGCGACCGCAGTTCATCATTTCCATAGGACCCATATTCCTTGCAAAATCAGATTTATGGTGGTGTCGCTCAAATTTCCTCGCTCGTGCGGATGTTTGTGCTGGGTCCACGCCTAATCCTTAACGTTAGAGAACATCACGCTAAGCCCGTGGACGACTCTGATGCAGTAACCGCCATAACTGCAATTGCTTTCCAGGAGCGCACGCATGTGTCAACAAGCAGCAGTGTGTAGCACGGGAGACGACTTCTTTACACTGGGAATTCTGCAGGCGAGAGAATATGTTTTTGTCCCAAGCTTCGTTGTGGTACTTATATAATTAAGTTGTGTTGTGTTCCGAAGTAGATTTAAAAGAGAAGTAGGTCTGGACAAACATTTATCTTTATGCATCACTGCTGGCGCTAGCTGAAACCACATAAAACGTCTCGCAACCAGTCCTCATCTTACCTATTCCCCACCTCAGCGCCCGGATTGCTTGATAGCACTGTGGGAAGTAAAAACACTGAAAATTGGTGTCTAGAATACTGAAAATCAGGGTTCAAAATACTGACTTTCAGGCTTTTGTATCTTTCAACCGCAGTTAACGTCGGAGCCAGAAGATAGGATGGGCTAGATTTCAGTGTCTAGAACTTTGAAAGTGACATTTTTCAGTGTCATAAATCCTGAACTGAGATTGACGGCACACTGAAAAGCACTTGATAGAACACTGACATTGTGATGTTCGCGGTACTGAAAAACAGTGTTTGAGACGTTGCAAATTAAGAGTCTGTAGTACTGAAGATTCTCTACTCCAGACACTTCTCAGGACACTGAAAATTCACTGTGCACGCAACGTCGATAATGATTGCAATAATAGTACATTGATATCAGACTCGGAGTGGGCAAGCGTTACATGATGCGGTCCAAAAAAAAGAAATAACGATAACGAAGCATCGAGGGTCCAGCTGGCAGCAAGAACATGAGTCCAGAGTGTATCGAATAGCAGGCTGCCAGCAGTCCAAGGTGCATGTGGCCTCCATTCGTGAGACAAGACAAGTCGAAGAAAAAAGGTCAGTACTGTCAGTGCCGGGCGCGTTTTCTTCTGATGGGGCCTTCCAGTTCATCCCCAGCAGACACAGCCACTGCCTTGGCTTTTCTCCGGGTCTCCCTGTGTGTACGAGGTCTTGTGGCAGGCGACTGGAAAAGTTTCAAACATGCAGACCTGAAACTACTCTGCGAATACAAAAGGACTTACTGGTGGCATCGAGGAGAGAGCAGACAGTGATGAGGGGTTCCCCTGGCTCGCACAGTCGGAGAGCTTGAGGGCATTGGCATGTCGTGAAGGTCCAGGCTGTGGAGGTGGTGTGGTCTGAATAAATATATGGTCAGTATATGCTTGTCGAATTAAACGAAAGCACCTCTGCGCGCCAAGTCCGGCTGCGAAACCTCGGCGGACCACCCTGAGCTTCATTGCGATGGATGACAATTGTGTTTGACTTGGATCGCTGAATGTTTGACCTGCAGATCTGGTCCAGTGCATCAGTAAACCGGTGAGACTCAGATATTAGTAGATTTTGTAGTATTTTGTAAGCCCAATGCTTCTTTCCTGTATATTACGATACAAAGTAATAAATAGCAATCTAAAGCAATGTAATCACGCCAATTCACGCTCGGTTCAGACTTATATATTGCTTTACATTACTTTACATTACTTTATATTGTTTTATAATGTCATGTATAGGAAAGAGCGTTTCGGCATACAAAATATGGGAATATCGGTGGCTCACTGATTTACTGATGGCCAGTTCTTCATCCGAGTCTAGTGCAGGATGTAGTTGAATCCCAGCCTGTCTGCTTTCCAACAGCATCGTGTGAGCCTCCGTGATACTGACATTGAGTCGATGGGCAATTGCACAAGTAGCAACGTATGGAACCAGGAAAGAGTGAGTGAACTTCTTGATGTCGAGCGGCTGAATAGCATCAAGAGGAATGGTGGATGTGCAAAACATGGCTTCTAGGGTGTGCACAATGACATGCTCGCCCTTTGAACCGAAACTACTTGGAAGAAAGTTATCAGTAGCCAATCAATAGAAACATGATACTTACAAGCCAGCGCTTGATAACTCGTTGATGAAAGCTGTTGTAGGTCCCTTGTCTCTTGCAAAAGCAAGAAGGTACTCCTCCTCTGTAACTCCCTTGTTGTGGTAATGGCAGGTTATGCAATCCAACAAGGTTGTCCAGACGATGTGGCTAGCTCGGGTGCTGTGATCTGAGAGGATCTTAGTGACATCAGCTGTCAATGACCACGTGAAATCATTAAGTTCAAAGAAATTAATAGATACTGGCCAACCGTGCTCTGCCACATGCTGATGTATTTTTGACAACTTGTTTTCAGATGTGAAGCATAAGGTGAAGTACCGTGCGACCATATTCTCCTTCCTTGTGGATGTGTTCTGCAACATCAGCAAAACACTAAATTTAGCACAGTTACCGTGGCGGCTTACAGCATATTACAGCATATTACAGCATATTACAGCAGGTGCAGACTTCTGTAGCAATGTGTAGCGATCAACGACGGTATATATAAAATTTCTACAGCATGACATAGCACCACACATCGCGCTACAGTGAGCAACTTGAGAAGTTGGTACCAGCTCTTGGTTGTGACATGTGACCTCCGAGTCTAAGTTTAAACTTGAAGGAAGAGCAACTTTTAAAGCCGGCATTTACAAACATTGATTCAAAGTATGTACAATACTAGTAGTAGATGGGACATGGAATAGGAACAGTATAGATCTGGCTACTAGTACTAGTATTAAGCAGGCTTCACAACTTGAAGCCCAAAGAATCGGACACCACATCATAATCGAGTGTTTGACTCAGAGTCGCGCTCGGAGATCCTGTGGATAAAAAAGTGTCAGTAGTAGAAGTGGTTGAACAAATTGAACAGAGTACAATTACCTGCCAGTGGTGGTGAGTGAGCTAAATCTACTTCTGGGCTGAGCGTATCACTATCAACGTGACTAGTAGATCTGCAACGGCATTTTCGAGGTTTACTAGTAGCAAAGTCCTCCAACAATGTGATTCCACTTTTGCGGACCGAATGGCGTACATAACCAATGTCGATATCAGCATCCTCCAATTTCCTCTCAGCTTCTGTGGCCTCGAACTCATAGAGTTTTCCAAGTGTGACATTCTGCTTGAGAATGGAGTCTGCGAGTGTCTTCTCCGCCAGGCGAACATCTCGCTGTGCTCAGGTCACATTCAAAACAAGCTGGGCCTTGAATTCCTCGCTAGCCCAGGTGTCATTGGAGTTAGTAGATTCCTGGGCAACATTATCATTTCGATCCTGAGCATGTATGGGTACCGTTGAACTTACATTATTGCTGTCTTCACAGTCGGAGCCTGGCTCCGTTGTTATCAGGAATATAGGTGATGGGAGTTTTTTGTCCACATTCAACCTACTAGTAGCAGAACGCGCAACAATTGGCATGGTCAAGTTACACAATAATGCAGGGAATCGGTTGCGCAGAGCACCAATAGCCCTGGGAGTTCCAACGCGCTTCCAGTTACTAGTAGGGTGCGAGATGCTTTGCATAGTAGTAGACATATGTTGAGCCTGAGCCTGATAGATGGACAAGGATGGGGTGTGGTGAATGGTTGATGGGTGCGATTGAATGGATGATGTGCTGTTCACGACTTGTCCATCTGTGCTCATGTTGGAGACCTTAGGGGGAGGTCCTGGTACCAGCGCAAGCGTTCTGTGAATTGCTTCAAGTTGTGCTGGATGGGTCTGGGATTCATCATGATGCGAGTGTCTTCGATCAAGTGAAATCCCTCTAAGAGACGAGGCTGTCACAAGTTGGGCACTGGAGGACATTCAAGACTCTTTCAAGTTGTGCTGTTAACAAATTTTTGTGAGTCACACTGACTCAGTGGTTAAATGGGATGTGACAAATTAGGCATACATGATAGTATGCGAATATCATGGTACATTCAGCGAGAAACATCCATAGTACTACGCATGTGGTATCTAGATGAGTAGTAGTATGTTTCGTGCAGTCCTAGAAGTACAAGAACAAATGTGACATGGATGACAACAATGAGGAGCCTGAGATCAACAAGATAGCAAATTCAAACTTGAAGAGCAGTGCAACAGAACAAGCGAAGATGGAACTAAGTACTAGTACCAATCATGTAAATTGTCAGTGTTGAAGGAAACCAAGTCTAACGACAGACACTCACCTCAACAATCGACACAGCAAGAGCCTACTGATGACCCTTCCCCATCCCCTTCCCATTTGCCCTCCGACTCAGAGTCTTCTTTGGTTTTGCCTTAAACTCTTCACGGCTTCCCTCAGGCTGGATCTTCGACTTCTTTGCTGAGTGCTCCGGCTGCACATCAAGCGATAACCCAGCAGAGGATGAGACCATCGCATCGGATGAGGAAGTCATTGCACCAGATGAGGAAGTCATTGGAATTGATGAGAATGAAGTACTTGTCGGTTGGGTGCTGGAGTCTGAGGATTGAACCTCAACGTGCATTGTCTTTTGCTTGTCATATTTGTGGTTGCACCAATCCAAGTAGCGGCAGTAAGCTGTGAGGTATATCGTGGAAGAGATAGAGTTGAGAGCTGCCATCCAAACAGGCTTGAAAACGGGATGGGAATCACGCGCGCTCTGAATTGCAGCCTCCTCAAGTGCCATACCCTCCATCAACAATATGATATACCTCTTCAAATTCTCAGCAGCGTCACTCAACATCCGTTCAACATCATTCATCTGCAATGTAGGGTAAAGGGTCTGCAGGGGGTGAGTTGAGATCAGAAAGTAGTACTACTAATAAGATGAATATACACACACCCCCTCTGCCAATGTAGCAGCATTCTTGTTGTTAAAATCAAAGTGACCATCTGCGCCACACTTATACACGGTGTACCGGACCTCGGAGATATCGATCCAGATATGAGACTTGAGCTCCACCGGTCCAAACCTTGAGCTCTTCTTGATGCGGAGAGGGATGAACTCCTTATAATCCAATGCAGGAGCTGAGTGAAGTTGTTGGGCAGTGATGTTGTCTTCTTTAGGCTGTTGCCATTTGGCTCGCTCTTTGAAGGATATGACGAGAGCGTAATTGATGTCTTGATGACCATCACATGTGATGCTGAGCTTGTGCACCATGCAGTTCATATCCGAGGAAAGCCCACATTCTCCAACCCATTTGGAAACCGGCTTTGCTACCGCCATCTCATCTGACTCCATATCCTCTGGTGGTTGTGCTGTGACAGTAAGGTGTAGGTCTGGAATGTTCGTGGAGTCCTTGTTTTGGATATGGTGATTGAGGTGCATAGTGATGTTGATCAGGAGTTTGTCGTAAGGGATGGCTTCCGTGAACTTGTTGACGGCCTTCGCAAGGTGTGCAGCTGGTTGTTCGTGGACAGGAAGTGGGGGCATGATATGTAGATCTTGAGTATCCGCAAAGTAGACGAATCTGTAGTAGGAGATGGGATGTGGTCAGCGTATTATTATGACTCAATTACTACTCTGAGGTTCACTTTGCTCTGACTTTGAAATCTAGCTCTTCTGACGTAAATGCTACCACTGCTGCGTATTCTGCAGGCATAATATTGGCGATGACCTCAGATCATGGTAAAGATTAATCTATGACAAGTAATAATCAGCCTATGATTGTATTGGCTTGAGGATGTTGAAGGGCTTCGAGGACGACTGCACAGTGGTCTTTGTGATGATGAATGGTTAGGAAGAAGATTGATAGGTGATAAGCGATCTGAGAAATACTAACCTAAGCTTAAAGAATCTTGATTATCCGAGTCTGTAAATTGAATGTGGAGTCTTGTCTTTATTGCTGTCTTGAGGTCTTCAAGAACTTGCTTGTCATAAAGTTCTGTGTCTGTTGGAACATGATGGTGCAAGGAACATGGGTTTTTCGACTTGTTCTTGTTGTACACATGGAGGAGAAGGGATCAAGTTGTGTGATGGTGATTTTGGGAGCCAAGACTTGGAACTCTTTGAGAACTTAGAATAAATAACTGGAAGAGTCATGATTGTGCTGGTGACAGGCATTGAGAGAGAGGTATGATGACAACAACCAGTGGCCTGCCAATCAGGGCCTGCCCCACTGACATTCGGATTTAGTCAGCCAAAAGCCATGTGCCGAGGTAGTGCTGTACATCGCTATACAGTGGATCCTTGCAGGATAGCGTACATTCCATGATGCTACAGTAACATATAGTGATATATAGTGACATACACCGAGTAAATAGAGCTCTTGAACCATTGATATATTACTTTAACACAATTGAAAAAACTAGTACTAGTACTACTACGGCTCGGAGTTTGAGATAGCATAGTAGAAGTCCTTGTCAATGTATTTGTTCAAGAAGAACGTCTGAGCAAAATGAGCACTGTTTTCCGCTGTTAGACGTGAATCGGCAACACAGCCAAAGCGGGGGATAATGTGAGCCAGAGAACGAAGTTGATCTAGTGGGAGGATGTCATCAAAAGGAGTCCCTGCTGATCGCATTGCACGCTTTAAAACATGCATTTGCATTGTGTGTTCTAGTAAGTTGCCATGTCACTGAGGCATGACATCCAACTGTTGAACATACATAAGGAAATGCACAGCCCAAGAGGCACTACTACTAGTTCCTCGTGGAGGAAGTGGTTGCATGATAAGGTGCACCTCAACAACAGCATGGCCTGCAATTTGCTCAGACATCAATTCGGACATAATATACAAATGAACATTTGAAAAATGTACCTTTAAGCCCACTAGTGGGCCATTGTTCACATCTGGTGTCATCAATGGTGAAAATAGCAGCATTGTAGTGGCCATGCTTCCAAGTTGCGCTCGGGGGAGATGCATTGATCGTGAGAGCAGGAGGAATGATCAATGGGGTATGGTACGATGCCTGCTGCACACGCACTTTGAACCAGACCATAAGGTCGTCAAATGGAAGAGGTGCATTGGACGGTGCTCGGTGTTGTCCCCCCAGCAAGTGGAATTTCTGAGCTGTAGTACCCTCTTGTTGAATATAGTCAGCAAGTGCTCCCCGCAAGTCAGGTAGAGATAGTTTTTCAGCAATGACATTGACTGGTATGCATCGTATGAAAGGATCAAAATTGAGGTGAATTGCTGTTGCACCGACCATGAATGTGCAGAGAGGTCTGGCTGCTTGGATGTCCAAAGAGACTTGCTCTGCCTTTCTGAAAGAATTGGTCACAACATGCTTCGGCCCCCAGAGATCATCCGAAACTGTCTGCAAATGAGCTTCATCAATATATGCCAGTGAACCTTCATCCGAGTCATGATGTTCAGAATCATTGTCCATCATTCGAGATGAAGAAGCAGAGGCTTCAAGTTGTGACTCTGACTCTGACCAAGCGATTATTGATGTCGTGATCTGAAAGTTTTGACACTTTTCTTGGTGATCAAGAAACCGGCATATAACATTGCATGTCGCACTGGGCTCTTCCAGTGACTTGTTTGAGCTTTGAAATACTGCCATTGAAGTGTCGGAGCGTCATGAGTGGTTGTAAAACAGAGAAGCAAAAGTCTAGTTCCTGTTTGCCAACAGCTGCGAGACACCACTTAACATTGTGATCATAGAACTCACGGTGCCAGTGATGCAGGGATTCTGGAGTCAAAAACAGATATGGATCTGCAAGTGGCCAATCGCGCCAGAATGGCTGGGCCACACCGCTCAGGCGGAAGGCAGCACATGCATTGAAGTAGCCTTCAATGTCAAGGGGATCACAATTGATGCTTGAAAGCTGGCTGAGAGTCATTTTAGCTGTTCAAGGGTGGTGTTGGAAGGCATCTCCGAAATTTTTGTACATAGCCATAGTTACCAGCAAGGTCTTTCCTCGAACACATGCAAGCATGCATGCCTTGGGTGTATCGACAATGTACAAGGCTAAGGGGGTAAAACAATATCTGAGGTTCCCAAGTGGGTCTGACATCATCCGCCCGATGCGTGCAGCTTGCTTGAGTGGCTCCAGCACAATATCTAGACATTGGTGGACCAAGCGGGCTTCGAGAACACTCTGCATCTGCTTCACCGGATGCAAAAATTCAGCAATTGGAAGCAGCACTGTCCGGAGGAAAGCATGTGAGGATGCCTTATTTCGAGTTGCCATCTTGATATTGGCAAGGCTGATCAGGAGCGGGTGAGCAACACATCCACCAGTCATGTTGGTAATGTTGGTTTTATTGGAGGAAAGGATGATGCCTAACAATGTTGCACCATCCAGAAGTTGTGACTATGACAGGGTGTGAGAGTTAGCAAGACAAGCTTGGAGATTGTTGATACTGTAGAGTACATACCTGCATTGACCATGCTGTGTCCCCCATCACCCATTCACTGTAAATTCGTACTGTACGTTCCACTGTATCATAAACACATTGAGGTGTGAGATCTATTTTATTTGCAAAGAGCGGGTGGCTAAAAAGCGATTCAATGCAATCCAACGGATCGCGCCAGTAAAGATGTAGAGGTTTCTTTGTTGGGTGAGTGTCGAGATGATGTGGTACTGCCACTTTGGAACAGAAGGCAGCAGCTCAGAATGCCCATCTAACTCCTTGGCGGTACGAAAGGAGAGGGGCAATGCTTTAACCTTAGAATAAATCAGCACTTGTGACAGCAACACAAGCGCTAATTCAAGACGTACTAGTTCCAGCCTCAGGAACTCATCTATGGCTGCCATACTTAATGACGAGCACAGGAGAAAACTGCTGAGCTCCCGATTCTGATGGGACATGAATGGATAGTACAAATTGTCTTTGCGATGTACTCCATAGGAATCCATGTTAAACCTATCTAGAAAGGTCTGGCTGCGCAAATATACCTTCACGGCATCCCTGAAGTGCTCGACGTAAGGCTTCTCCGAAGCTTGGCTGCCCAAAGGCTCTTCAACGGACCCTGGGAGGTCATTCTCCAAGCCCACCGTGCCTCCGTCATCACCGTAGGAATAGCCCAAGTCACTCATGCTGCAGTGAGCATCCGCCTTTTCCCCACTGTCAACTTGAACTTGAAAATCCGTTAGGGAATCTTGAAAAGGACTCGGTGTTCTGGAATGACGAGGGTCCATCAACTGTGAGTTTTGCAGAATTTGCACTGCACTCTCAAGCTGATCGATCCATCGTAGGCAGGATGTAAGGGGCTGGCTCAGGTGTTGCGAAACTGCCTGAGCACTCTTAAATTGTTTTAAACAGTTAGGGCAGTGGGCTGTCATTGAGTAGGGAGTACTAGGGATGGAGGTAACTACTAGTACTACATCCGAGTCAGCTGCTGAAGTGTACTACTAGATTGGCAATTTGGTATGTAATGTTAATGCGCCGGTATGACTTGGACTTGGATACCACTATGTACTACTTAGTAATTAACCATCATACAGCCACATTTAACTTTGATTTGCAGGTTTGATTTCTCTGTCATTCATCTAGTCATGTGCTACCATGCCAGTGGGCCGATGGAAAAAGCAACGAGTTGTCGAATCAGATGGCATCGACAACGATGAACCAGCGACATCAGTCCAACCTCAGGCTCCCTGTCACCGTACAAACCGACCTGGCGCTGGCGCTGGAGGAAGAAATTCCCAGCTAGAGAAGATTGGGAATGCCATCCAAACTCCAGCCAGAGCACCCAGTGGCAAATCGAAGGTTCGGAATGTTATTGTTCCCATTGATGAGCCCGAAAATGTGATGGCTCCGCTAGTGACAAAGAAGAAGGGGAGAGGAAAAGCGGCACCTCGCCAGCTTGAGAGGAACTTGAGTGTGATAGTAAGTACCCGCCTGGTCTGGTTCATTTCTCAGCACTAATATCTAGTATTCAGCAGGAGGCATCCGAGTCAGGCCCCACTGCCACAAGTCCCACACCTGCTCTACACGTCACGGACCAAGGAAGGTTTGGATTTCAGGATCGTCCAATTCCCTCAGCATATGTCAGTTCCAAACTGCTCCAGCCCCATCAAACAGAACTTCATCCTGACTCAACGACACCCCCTGCCCAGCCCTATGTCCATGATCGCAGTACCTCTCAGGGTGCTTCTTGCAGTACTTCTCGTGGCGCTTCTCGCGGTGCTTCTCGTGGCACCTCTCATGGTGCTTCTTGCAGCATCTCTCATGGCACCTCTCTTTGTGACACTCAGGCTGATGGAATCAGAATTCCAGCCATCCAGCACCCCGTTGTTTCTCATGACGCCTGTTACAGTAACATGAGCATTACGCATCATTTCATTCTTTGGACTCGTCTGGACCCAAACCATGGTTATGATTCTATTTCTATCTCTTTCTTTTTGATCTTGTTGTTCTGAAACGCGAGAAGCTCTCACTTCTACCCCTAGATCAGAGAAGCCCTGGCTTCTACTGAACCCTATGCCCTTCCCACTGTTTCGGTTCTCTCATTGATGGGGATTCCCCATGCCCTTTACCCTTACCGTTCAACCGGTACTTCTTACCCCTTTTTACTTATGACTCACACAATCCTTGACCCTTACCACTGACTTGGTATTGCCTCCACTTACCCTGTACCCATACCGTTCCACCGGTATACCACCCTTACGTATATATATCTCACTTGTACTATAGACAGATTCTCTAACTTGAATCTACTCAGTTCTCATCTGATACTTGTTGTTGGGTCTGAACTTCTCTTATCTAAGAGAACTCCCTCTGTACACAGGACCATCTTCTCTTGAGACGATACTCTTGAGTTGAACTCTGTCTCTTGGATCGTATCCTTGAGAAACTCCAATCAACTCTATGCAAGTAAGGGCTTCAACCCTTACTCAGACTTAGTGCAGGCAAGCTCCTTGCTGGGCTAGCGCTGAAAGCCACACTTCGAACACCCCTTGTGGGTTTAGTGTCGCTAGATTTCGTCTGAGAGGTTTCACGTAACAATGCCCCTCAATCTGTCAACACTCGTACTGTTTCTCACAAAGTTCCTCGGTCTGTCAGCGACCAACGCTCACACTCATCTATTCCCATCAACTCTGCCGTTCAGCGTGAGCCATTGACCACCATAACACCCCATTGCACCATTTCTCGTACTCCTCCCGCTTTTGGTTCCACTAGCCAGAACATGTTTGTTGATGAAACTGAAGAAGGTAATAAAGAGGCAGATCATGATGAAGAAGTGGACGTTGAAGAGGATGACATGTCTAACGAGGATGGAGATTTTGCAGGAGACGACATCAATAATAACATTATGGACTATGACTTGGAGCAGGATGTTCACAGGAGTGATGACATCATGCCAGACCCCTCAGACCACAATAATCAAACCTACCCTAGCAACAACCAAGTCAGACACCCTGCGCAAGTACCTGATCAAGGTGCACATTCGCAGGACGAGGATTATGATGACACGGGAGTGGCTGACATGGACCATGATCATTGGAACGATTGCACCACTAGCAGGAAGGGTAGAGACCAGAACATCAACGTAGCCCAGGCACTAATGCAAGCGATCCTGCAGAGCACTAACCAATGAGCTCCGGGTCATTTGGGCACTCCAGCAGTAGTTGTAAGCACTCACCCATTTTGTCAATGTGTATTGACACCTTTTTCAGCCTAATATCAATTATGATGTCTTCCAGGCTCACCACATGACAAACTGGCAGCCACGTTCTCAATCCCATTGTATTTGAACAGCATACGAAGTCGCTGCCCAAAGACTAAGCGTGCTCACATGAGCAACTCCCTGTCAAGTGATGACCCCGATGACCAGCAGGACAACTTGGAAGATCTTGATGAGGTCGAGAATACTGGGAAGCGCCATGGCACCAAGAAAACAAAGGGTACTGCTACTAATCGTGATGCAACTAATGTTGGGTTCTACCCGCCACTCTGGCAAAACTTCTAGACCGCACATATGATCTAGCACTCGGCATCAGCGGGAACACAATTGACAGTGTCAAACTCAAGGCAACCGCTTTGCTAAAGAAAGCAATGTATTTGCGCAGCCATCCTGATGCTGAGGTATGTTCATAGTCATGTTTGATAATCAATTCTAAATATTTAGTAGGGTCGTGCATCTAACTTTGCGAATGTTGCAGTCCGCATCATTTGCCATAGGTCATTTTATGACAACGGTTCCAAATCACTCAAACATTTCACCAAATTTCAGAAGACTATTCCGCCCCCAGTGCTCTTCCTCATTGGGACTATCGTGAGTCTTCCTGTAGCATGCTCACTCACAGCGCGTTTACTGATTCCTACTAAGATTCGTAACATGATTTATATCTACAGCAAATATGGCCAGGTAAATGGCGCCAAGCAGACACCCATTGAGGATTCAGAGACTGCCTATGACCACATTTCAACATTGTTCAACCACACAAACAGAGATGAGTATCATGGACCGAAACTACATCAAATGCTCAAAGCTTGGGCATTGGAAGGCATATAAGTCTTTCTGCATGATTTTCAACAAAAGTAGCAGTATATTGACCATCGAGTTAGGAACACACACAGCACTGGCCTTGGTACTAACAAAGGTGACGAAGGCTGTTCTGAGTGGGATGTTGATTTGGATTAGTTTTATATACTTACTAGCACTACTACTACTACTATGTTTTGCAGCATCATTTGAATAGAATCATCATTGACTGGTATTAATCCGCGTGAAAATTCAGAATAATTGCTATATTAAAAGTACTGCTACAAAACACCATACACCACTGTATAACACTACATAGCAGGTTTGTACTACGCAGTGTCATACAGCGCTACAGCATCACACAGCGCTACAGTGTTGTGCAGGGTTGTATGGTCTGACAGTAGCTGTGCTGAACTGCACAGCATGACACATTCAAAGCACACGCTGTGGCTCGGCTGCACATGGGGGGACTTCCCTGTGAACCCTGTGTCACTGTGTGGCTATGTGCAGTGCCACATACCCCATTTGGGTTTTGCTGATGTGCCAGGGTGTGGTGGGCATGTCGGGGAGGTGCACTTCCATTTATGCCATAGATCCCAGGTAAAGTATGGCGGGATCCCTTGATTATCTGTCGATGCTAACACCATCTGCCTGTAGAACTCCTTTCTCGGTTCGATTCTCTATTCAAGCGAGTAAAGATCTACATGTTGTGACAACATGCGGACAGTTGCGGTCGTCGATGCAGGATGCTCTGTGCATGATATTGTTCAGGACTTGGTGAATCGCACAATACGTATCCAGCGTTCACCGACCACTGTCGTAGTCGTCGGACAATCAGGCATTGACTCACCAGTAACCTTAGTGTCATTGCTGTTGAGATCTCCGCTGATTTGACTCATAGGATATGTTAGGCAGGACGCTCTTCCGACAGAGATAGCCGACCGTTTCTACGTCGCCATCCCTTTACGAACTTCCCAGAACGATTCCATGAAGAGACATTCCCATATTGACGTTGACCAGTTCGTTGCACGACAAGCTTTAAGAATAATCACATCGTCTTACCCGGTTTCTTTCCCTCGGAGACCTCAGGGAAGATTTGTCCAGGCACAGTTATCTCCTTCCTGACCCCCACCAGGACAGCTTCCTACACAGTCTTGTAGTTTGATGGGGTCAGTTTGTTCCTTGCCCATCGTTCTGTTTTTGGTATTTGATGATGGTTTGCGAGTTAAAGTGGACCTCGTGATCTTCTTGACTTGATATATCTTTTGAAGATCTGTCCATCTAATCGACTTGAGGACTAAACAAGTTGCCAAGAGCCTTTTTGGGTTCAAGGTTGCAGATACCGTCTGATATTGTTCATGTCATTGGAGGCTGGGATGGCGATTGTGAGCCTGCAAGAGTTTGGAGGCCTTCTGGTTGTAAGACCTGTGTTGATTTGATTATGCGACTTAGCCATGCTGATGCCATTTCTCTAGACAAAGGACTTTGGTTTTCGGAGGCTGATCTCTTCGCTGCACATGCTGGCAACCATGCTCCTACCAGATCCTGCCCTGATCATCATGCTTAATCGCTTGGCATACAGCGAAGCACTCAACCAATTGCAGGCTGGTAACAATTTGTCTGTCAATGGAATCTATATCAAATACATAGATGATATCATTATCAGCTCACACACGCATCTCATAGAGAACCATTTCTGCATGGTCCACGTTCCCTGAGGAGCGAATCCAAGAATGCAGGAGCTGTCCATAGCGAAGTCAGTTGATGAAACTCAGCAGCAAATTGGCAATATTGTGGATGTGGCGGAGATGACTTCTTGGCGGGTGTACTAGGACATATCATCAACCGATCCCACCATTAGGCCTGTGTCAAATTAATGAACTACAATTCAACTGATGCAAATGCAGCAAGAATCTTTCGAGAGGGTGTGTGAATTAACGACATAGTACATTCTAATGATAGGGGAACGGCAGCTGCGCAAGCGTGGGTTAGCAGCCTGGATGGCACAGGTGAGTTCATTCATCATTGATCTCGTTCAAATCAGATTTTTCTGGTAGAATGTAACATTGTTTGGAGATGGATATCACCCTATATGCGATGCTCATTTTGGCCATAAAAGCTCTGGATGGTGGTACATCTAGCACGAACACCATCATCATACATCCACAAAGTTTACTACTCCCACACACCCATCCTATAACAGTATGACAGTGATCTCAAATGATCCCAGTTGGTGGCCAGTCATGAATTCGGGTCTCATTTCCAGCTATTTTACAGGTTTGTGGAGAGACAGTTGGATGATGAGGGTGATACCTTGATCTAATCTTGGCTGCGGTTTCGCAGTTGCCGCCTCCACTGGGGTGATGTATGATTGTGGTGAGCAAAATAGTCTTCAAAAACCACTGATATCCTTATGGTATTACCAGTGCTAACATTCGGACAAGAGGTACATTGATGTCCCTGAAACAGTCATCTCACTAAGAATGAATGATTTTATAGGTCGAACTAATCTGGGTAAGCAGAGTCCCACACCAGAAGAACAACAAGAAAATACAATTAATTCATGGTAGAGGCAACACTGGTCTCTGATGACTATTATGTATCTTAGTGTGAGGAGCTTGTTTTATAAGTGTGGTTGACAAGTTGTGCTGACTCAATTTTCTAGGTGCGCTATCTTGGAATATTATTTGCTGTGTATGTCTGCAAGGATAGGCAATCAGTGTTGTGGTAATCAGTTGTCTCTCACAATCAGCACCAGCATGCTGGGTATGTTTCCTCACATATGCTATGCTTATTTCTTCTGACCGACGGCATGCAGCTCAAGTTCCGACCATCCCGATGACAGATGCAGTGAGTATTCTGCCCTGGTTCCTGCCATTCCCGACTAATCAACTGTACTCCCATGTAGGGGTGAGTGAGCTTCTTGACCCGCCCATTGATTCAATATAATGACTACCACAGTTGTGAGTCTGTTAGGAGTGTGTGATACTCCGAGGCTGATCACTAACTCGATTTGTCAGGCTTCAGCATATTTGTCACAACAGAGTGGACAAATGTCGTCGCGCCTGCAATGCTAGGTGATGAGCTACCCAGCTGCAATCTCAGTGATATTGGTTTACTGATATATCATGCAAGTCATCATGATGGCTTGGTTGTATGCCATGTATCAGCGATCCCGGACAGTGTTGATACTTCTCATTATCGTCTTGCTAGCTGTCACTATCACCAATGGAGCAATGAACGAGATAACAAATAGGTATGCCTCAGGGGGTAAGCTCAATCATGGATGAAAGACTGAAGACCATTGACAAATACCAGAGGTGTACATTCTCTTCACCACCTATGAGTGTGCTATTGACTACAGGAAAAGTGGCCAACTTCTGGTGACCATAATTTGGATACTCACCATTGTATGGGAGGTCCTTGTACTGTAGCTTGCAGTCTGTATTGCTGTAAAACATTTCCGTGAACTGAGACAATCATCTGCAGGAGGGATTATTGGGGATTGTTTCACGGTGTTAATGAGAACCCAAGTGGTCTACTTTGCGAGGTGAGCTCGTAATGTGAATGTGGTTGTCCTTTTTCGCTGAAGCTTCACACGTGTTAACTTAGCTTTGCTGCTGCTTCGAGCTTCAATCTGGTTTTGATGCTTCCAAAAATCACAGTGGTATGTTGATCTATCATTGACCTCTGCATGCAACTGCAGTTCATCATTTTCATAGGACCCATATTCCTTGCAAAATCAGATTCTCGCTGGTGTTGCTTGAATTTTCTCGGTCACAGAGATGTTTGTGCTGGGACCACACCTGATCCTTGGCGTTCGAGAATACAATGCGCGGCGCGTGGCTGACTCCGATGCAGCAACCACCATGACCTCAATTGCTTTCCAGGAGCGCGTGCATGTGTCCACTAGCAGCAGTGTGTAACATGGGAGATGACTTCTTTACACTGGGAATTCTGCAGGCGAGACAATATGTTTTTGTTCCAAGTTTCGTTGTGGTACTTATTTAATTAAGTTATGTTGTGTTCCGAAGTAGGTTTGAAAGAGAAGTAGGTTTGGACAAACATTTATCTTTATGCACCACTACTGGCACTAGCTGCTACTGAGTACTCACACTTGCACCAGGCGGCAAGCTGAACACAGGTTCATGTCATACTGATGCATTAAACAGTGCAACTGCAACACTCCACTGATGCATCATTGGTGCAATTGTACCACCTTCCAATGATGCATCAGTGCAGTCCTCCAGATTGATGCACTGCGATGCATCATCCCAACCCTTGCACCAATGCATCACCTTGCTACTGTGATGCATCAACCTGCCCTCGCTTGTTCATGTGCCCCTACTGCTGTTTCCCGCCCTCCTGCTGTTTCCCGCCCTCCTGCTGTTTCCCACCCTCCTGCTGTTTTCCGCCCTCCCACTGTTTCCTGCCTGCAAATGATACCAATTTTACTCTTGCTAACATGTATTGGGTGACCGAAACTATAACAAAGGTTTATGTACTATCTAAGTCCATGTCTTTGAATGTGTTCACCAGAGCCAGGGTGTCAGCCCAGCTGGTCTTGAAGGACTCCACAAGAATTCGACGTAAAACAGCTTGACGTTTGGCATACACCGTCTGTCCCTTGCGCTTGTCTGTGTCTGTGTCTTGTAGTGCGTTTCCCAGGCTCTGCTCATCCCAGCGCTGGGCATCCCATTCAAAAATTGCAGAACCCTTCGCATCTCCTCCTTCAACAACTCCACATCTTCTGCCCAGCGCATCGCCTGTGCCCTGGCTTTGCACCATTCTATTTGCATATCTGATTGACCATGAGCCTGACTAGGAAGCAAAAATGAAGAGCTGCCTACCTTCCAAGGTATTGTCCTTGTCCATCTTGTTCAGAGCCGCTCCCCACATACTCCAGATCCATGACAGCTTTCTTGTTCCCTCCAATTCTCCCCATATTATGTCTGTCATCAAGCGGATGTCAGCTCAGTCTAGCGGCCGCAGTGATGAGTGCCACCCAGACTGGGTCTGATTCACTCGTGGTGCAAGAACAATGAGGGATTTATGTGCATGCTCGTAAGTGCTGGCAGCGGCCTCGATCCTTGCTTCAATGGCTTTCAATGTATTCTGTGCCTGTGTGTTTGCTCCTTGTCCACAAAGGTGCCGGTCTTTATACTTGAGGATTGCAGTCTGAGCGCGTAAGTTCAAATGTAGAGAGCAGAGTGCATTGTGAGCTTGCCCATACCGCAACTTCCATTCGATGGCTTGGAGACGGGTGTCACAAGGCACGGTCCTGCTGATATGGGATGGCAGGCAGAGCTTGATTGATTCTGGTGCAGCGGCCACATTGTTAGATACTGAGCTCTCACTCGCACGTAGTGCAGTGAGAAACAGCATGTATAGTTCCTGCATCTTCGCCCAGGCATCGATCCTCCATTGGAGAGTGTTGCTTCGCTGAAGCATCTTTCCTTCTTGATTGTCCGTTGCATGAACTCCAAGGCCAGCTCTGTCTGCTTTCATTCGCCATCTATCAAAGTAGGAATGAGGTCTGATAAGCAATGGTTGGGACACTCACTGCTGCTCCTCGAGTTCTAAGCCAGTACTGATCAATACACTAGGAGTGCAGTCCTTGTGTAGGGCAAGGTAAGTCCCTGTTTGAAGGTCAACCTGGTCCTCCCTAGCCAGCTCCAGTCGTACAGAAGCCATAGTGATACCTGTGATATACAGAGGATCAAGATGAGCACATAAGTATTACCATCATGATCTCATACTTACTTTCTGCCTTTTGTTCGAAGGGATTGGGCTGCGCAGCGTCATGCTCCCAAGCCTCCACCTGTTCTCTCCACTGTTCAAGGGTGGCACCATATTCGCCTCGCAAGCCGTCATTAAGGTCCTCGAATGCTTCACAATGGTTCTCTTGCTCTGGCAACGCATCCTTCATTTTTCGAAGCATAGTACTACCTGATAAAATGTAAATTAATGTATTATTTTGACAAAAATAAACACACCAAGTCCAACAACCTTTTTCCAATTTGAGTCTCCAAAGTAGTCATCAAGGGTTTCTTGCTGTGCACCGGGACCCATTTCTTTTGTGCTTGAAGCGACAGGGTTAATGTTGGCCCAGCCATGTTCTGGTGCTTCTCCATTGGTCCTTCCTACCCTGCTCTTGAAATTGAATGAGAAGGAGGTTTGGCACTGCTCAATATGAGCAGGTAAGTGGAACTTCGGCACAAAAAATGAGACAGTCTTGACGGTATGTGAGAGGTGCATTGACAATGGAAAGGCACTCATACAGTGCCATAATTTTTTGTGCCACTGGCACGCGATATCATAGGATATGTTGAGAGTGTCGAGTATGGTATGACGAAGTGTTGAAAAGAACAAATAATCCATGTTAATATATCTACATGCCCACATTAGATTGCCAACTGTGGAATGCAAATGACAATTTACCTTTCACCCTTTTGGAGATCCCCCACTGCATTGGGCCTTTTCATATTGTGGTGAGCACAGTCGACGGTACCTAAACCGGTAATGGCGAGTCCGTGGTTAGATTTTGTATCGGCCATGTTGACAGCGGTGTGACTTGAACATGTTGATTTCTGCAAAAAATAGTGAATATACAAAAAGCATAAATAAAACCAACTAACCTCTTGGATGCTGTCCGCACTGCTATGCAAGAAGCCTTTATAAGCCTCTTCCTCCATGAAATAACCCCAGCCACGACTCAGGCTTGGGTCAACATTGTCATTGGAGACAGCCTTGCATTTTAAGCAGAAATTCGCATCAATGGCGAGGAATAATCCATATAACCACCTAACAATACCTATATTAGCAATAATTCTACTCCGGACTGAAGCTCGCTCTAAACTCACTGTCGAGGGGCATCTTTCCAATCAGCTGGAAGGTTCTTCCCTGGGTGTGGGCATGCTGGGCACAATACGGCACATTCGCCCTCAGCTGTCCCATCTATACCACTAGGGTCATGACCTCGCCCCGAACGCTTAAGTATCTTCAAATGGCGCCACTCGCATATCATTCACAAAAACGACTCATATCGATCCTGTAGGGAAGCTGGAGTAACTTCAAGGGTACTTGAAAATATGAATTTACCTTGACGGGAAGTAGGCCAGTGTTATCAGACATCCGCCTGAGCGTGTGATAAAAATCATATGTAGATACTTTTGACTCAAATGAGAGTAGGTGATACTGCTCGAGAACGCGGAATGTTGCAGCGGTTTTTGGATCTGATGTTGTCGAAGGAAACCAAGATATTTGAAGCAGCTGCATGTGGCTTTCGGCTGTTGCACAATCACAGAAGTCAAGGGCCACTTCGTGTATACCGTGGGTGTCGATAATGACAAAATCATTGTTAAATGCACAACAAGGATTGAGACATTCCTGGCCAGTGGTGTGGCCAAGCTGGATGTGAAGGCCCAGGGTTTTCAGTGAGATTCGCTCGAAATATTGACCGTTCCACCTCTGTGTTGATATGATATATTAGTTTTATGTCCTACTCTCCCAATCAAATATGAAACCGTACCTACAATCAATGAAGTGGGTGGCTCACATGGGCCAACAAGATGCAAGTTGAGCAATAGAGCTCTGACCCTAGGCAGTCCTCACACCGGTACTCCAGGCTGGGATGATCACATTCCAAGCAAGACTGAGCACTGGCTTGACTACATCTTCCTTTGAGATGGATTATTTCGCGAAGGAATAATTCTTGATGCTTCAACCGCATCAACAAAGGATAATCCTAAATAACTATGGTAAGGAAAAAGCCAGAGGACTCAGAATATTGTAGTATACATACACCCGCTGCTCGATTTCTTTTTTGTTGGCCTAAAAAGTCTAATGATACTTTGAGTGGGAGATCATCAAATGGCTCAGGAATTGAAAACGGCACATCATGCAGAGTCGGTGCAGTACGAGTTAGAGTAAGATTATTGACAGTTGATTTAGCATTCTTGGGAGGTTGAAGACGCTTCAGCTTATAGCTGATGGACCCATCTTTATGAACCTCATATTGGGTATGCTGGCGGGAAGGCACTGAGGTGACTGAGCGGTAAAAATTGAGCTTGGGTTTCTTCTTCCATTTCTGCAAGTTCTTCAGTGCTGTGGATGTTGCCTGAGTGCATACAATAGTCTGAATTGAAGATGCCCTGGCACAAGGAGGGTCTGTAGACATTCATTGTTGAAACCTGGGAGAAGTATGGAAGCCCGGACCTCGAGCACCTGTACTTGTGTATTTGTAGATGTTGACATACATATTGCCCCAAGGCCGTATCACATCTCCCTTCCTCCACATTCTTTTCAAACACCCTCCCATGACACCTGGTTTGGCTGTATTGCCCCAAGGCCAATTGGTGGAGTACGCTCTCGTTCATTTCTCAAACACCCTCCCCATGATGCCTGGTTTGGCTGTATTGCCCCAAGGCTGATTGGTGGAGTATGCTCTCGTTCATTTCAAACAGGTACATGCTCCCTTCCTGGTATCCATTGTTTTTTTTGGTGCGACCTTGTTCACACAGAATTGGTTGCAGGTTGTGTTGTGTCGCTGATGAGTCGAAGGCTCTTGTTGTGTCAACAATGATTTTCTGTGCAGGGCAGGCGTGCGCATGGACGAGGTATTGTTTGGTTTTGGAGGAGTGTTTGCGACCACTGACTTAGGCTCTTAGATCAGAGCATCGATGTTCGCGCATCACGGCCCATCGGCACTCACGATCGGGATTCCACTTATACCTATTGTGCATCGCCAGTACCGTTCATCAGAGGAGCATCGGAGCCATGTATGTGGCCACAGCATACTGTACACAACTGTATCACTGCACTTGTGAGTTCAGTACTGTAGAAGTTTCTTGAATGATTAGCCTAGCTTCGAGGAGTGGTACTTAGATTGTATATATACATTCGATCAAATGCCATGTCAGCAAAAGGAAGTGCATGTCAGCCATGAGAATGGTAATGAACACAGTGCGAAGTATCAATGAAGGAACAGATGAAAGCTGAAGGATGAGAGATCATGTGCACACTCAGTGATGACTACAATATTAAGCTGAGTAGTGTCTGGGGTTCGAAGTGACTCAAATGAACCAAGTAAGGTCCGAGTGAATAACAGGGTACCATGAACTCAAACATGTTAATGCGTTATTCTCAAAACAACTAGTACTTGGCATTCTCGTAGTACAACATCCTCCCATAACTAGTCCCAACCACAGACTGGGCAATGCCCACATAACTCTAAAGCTGACGAGATGTCAGCAAATGCTACCAAATGAAGTATGGTGTTGAACCTACTAGTGTGTCACCTGCTTGCTGCAAGCCTATGTATGATGGCACGATGAACCTTCTGTTCTCCCAGAACAAGTGACTGAACTGCAAAGAAGGTAGCAACATAATTGCCTGGTGTCCACAGCTCAATTTTTACATCATGCCTATGGCAGGTGTTAAGTATAAAAAATGTCAATGAAACCATGAAAACTCACCAGAGATATGCCGGAAACACTCCAATGTAGCGGCCCTGAGTAACACAATAAAAAGGGGGTTTTAGATCACGCTGGGCAGGCATATTATAGAATATTCCTTGATACAGATATAAAAAGCACTCATCCACCATAGCATTTGCAGCCTCCTCAAACTCTATACTGCCCTCGTACACAGTCACAAACTCCTCTGGTTCGGCCATGTAGGGTGTCATAGTAATGCTGAGCCAAAGAGGATCAGTGGATTGTGCATTGAGAGGTATCCTGGGAGTGGGGAAACTGAAAGGCGCTGTAGTTTTTGGATTAGCCTGAGAAGCACATCCATTAACAAAGCAAACTACTCACCCTGGGTCATGAGCGTTGACATTGGTGTCATATTAGTGGTGGTTAACGCGAAGTTCTAGAGGAGACTGGTATGTGCAATGATTTTTGAGTTGGCCTTATGAACCGCCATTGATGATATAGTGGACCACTCACCCTGGATAATGAGGTATTAACATTGATGTCATATATATGGTAGCAGTGTCTAGTAAACTTGATTAGACTTAAAACGGTGATATGATGTACTCATCAAGGGTTTCAAACCGACGGGGTACCAGTATTGAAATTTGATTTCCAGTGCAGAGATTGCAGACAGCATGAGTCACCAGATGCATCACCAATACATCATTATGATTACTGCGAGACATTGATATCACGAGTCTCCTTTAGTGATAAGATTACAGTATGCACAGTGAATGATGAAAATGTCCACGCTGGAGTCAGCATTGATCGCACAGATTGATGCATGGGGTGGGTGTGGGAGATGGTTATGTTGTTGGAGATATGGGAGAGAGGAGTTGAGTATTATGCCTGTGGAGTGAAATGTTGGGAAGAGATGCAAGAATGGAGTCGGTGGAGGGGAGCCACAGCCGGACAAGATGATGTCAAAAAATCGAAAGGGACGTCCTGAGGATTCCATACTAGTATTTTGCATATTGATTTTACAGCTTGATCTATTGGTGGATACAGTACCGATGTTCATATTAGAGGCCAAAATGGCGGCTGGATTTTAAACGTACCAACTAAACCAGTTACATATTTTGATTTCTGGGAGTTGCAGAGCTGACATTCTTGCAGGTGAAATTGAGGATTTCACTGTTGTTCTGGCTCATTAGTCTGCGAGAGGTAGCATGTAGTGTCGGCGTTGGTCGCATAGATCATGTTGGCTCAGTGTTTATTGCATAGACAGTGTTGGCATACGTCAAAAGCTACAACTGTGCTTGCCTGTAAGAGGTAGGATGTAGTCTTAGCCATATCAAATGGCCTGTGAGAGATAAGTGTAAGTGCAATGCATGGGTGAAGAAAAATACTACGGTCGGTTGGACACTGTGATGTCTGTGGTTGTAGTGCCTGCATAAACAGGCTCATGTTAGGCCTCTAGATCTTGCAACGACAAGAAACTGACTGCTGGACCAGGTGTCTTGGGTGCCCGTCACAGTGTTCCAGTCTTGGTCGTTTGGGCTGAAAGCAAGGACGTTCCAGTCGGCATCAAATGTGATGCATGGAATAACTTACAAAGTTGTAATCCAAAGCAAGAACACCGCTAGCCACATCATTAACTTTGGGAGATTTACGACTTGATGCTTGATATCCAATGATCAGTAGTTGTGTCTCACTAAAAATCAATTGTATAGTACTAGTCAGATACTCAGAGTATGTCTGCGGGGGTTCTAACTTGCATAATGATCTAAATAATAGCTAGATTGGAGTAAATCACAAGCTGAGTCTTAGACCTTAGCTATAATTGCACTGCTGCTTTAGGCTCATTCCAATCACTCAACCGTGCACATGTTGGAACTATAGTACTGATCATTCAATAACTACTGCCTCACTCATGTTTTTGCACACTGCATTGGACTGGTACCAGCATCTGCCAACTTCCAATGTGGTCCAGGTGAGTCTCTAGTAGCTGGCCAATATGACAAATGTACTTATTGCAAAGTAGTGGTTCACGCACATGCTGAATTCTGATGTTCAATATCCAGGTGAGTCTGTCCTTGCCCAATGCAATATTCTGTGCTTATTTGTTTCGTGACACTCTATGTAAGTGTACTATAAGCTCACCCACAAGCAAGATCGCCTGTGGGATGATTCAACACTCTTTTCCTATGGCATTGGTTGGCAGTAAACACCATCTTTCAGCATTCCTTCTTTGAATGACATTTCCTTTCAGCATATGCCCCAGTTAACAAAAGGTAAAGCCACTCTTCCATTCCCATGATTCGTCTGAGCTCACTTTGATCAAACCAGATTGGTGTTGCACTCCTTATTGCACTTTACTTTGAACCAGTCGGTATACATTTCCATTCAGTGTATGCCCTGGTCAACATATTGCGGTCACGCAAAGGTAAAGCCACTATTCTGTGCACATCATCCATCCAAGCTCACTTTGATCAAACAAGATCGGTGTCACGCTCCTTATTGTAATGAGTGATTAGATCCACCAGAGACACGGACTGGCGCTAGAAACACAAACTGGTGTCGGTGTCACCATTTCCATTTGGATTGTCTTGCGATCAGATCTGGTAGTAAGTCATTACTAGCTAAACTAACCTCACTCAAATCAGTTTGGTATCCTCATTACCCGATCCACCAGAGACAGACCAGTGCCGGTACCACCATTTTTGTTTTGATCGTCCTGCAATCGGATCTTGTAGTAAGTCATTTCTAGCTAAATTAGCCTCCTTTTTCATTCACCAATATTGATTCGGAACGAGCCCTGATCTGAAGCCAGTGGAATGATATAAGGACAGGCATAGATGTTGGTAAAGGGGCACACTCGTCTATCATTGTGTGCAGGAAAACAAAGGTATGATGGCGACACTATTAACACAGTATATGACTGAAAATCCTATGGCAGATGCCAGCAGCTCAGTGGACTACTAAGGAACAGTATGAATGGCTCCAACAACAGTTGCCGGAGTATACTGTACTGCATGCTGAGGACAAGGACTACACGCACTTCTGGCCTAAGGCTCATCTTTACTGGTTTAAAAGATGGTCTGAGCAAGCCACCCTCTTCCCTGATCTCCCCATTGAAACAACACTAACAAAAGAGCAACGAGCTGCAGAACATGCTGCCAAAAAGGCATGTAAAGTTGTAAGTTGTCGAACTTTTTGACTATTTTTGACCGCTAAAGCAAAACCCTGGTAGCAATTGCAGACCTGGTTTCATTGGCAGACAAATGTGTCCAAGAAAAATTGTGGCTTAAAGAAGGAAATCTCCGTCTTTGAAACCACACTGCTACCAAAGTCGCGTGCAAAATCTGTCGAAGAAATCTACATGGACATGGTCTATGATGAAAGGATCAAACTGCTAGTTGCAGCTGAGCAAGAGGCAGGCAATGTAGCTACAGCTGGTCACCGCATGGCGTTGGGCCGAAAGTTTTGCAAAGAGCTCCTGGAAGATGAGTCAGATGAGGTCAAGAAGGAGGTCAGAGAGAAGTACAACAAGCAGAAAAAGGTAAAGAAGGATGTGCTAGATGAAGAAGCCAATGACAATGACGAGACCGACACTGATGCCATTATGAAGTAAGCACCAGTTAATGATTATGATTTTGATGTTACTCACACGACCTATAGAGGTATCGATGATTTACCAATCATATGCCAGCACTTTGCATGCCTCATCAAGAAAAAGACTCAATTTATAGTCTCCTTCACATGCGCTGGACCAGACCCGAGGCAGAATTGGGACATTGTTACTTTATCGTAAGTGCACCAAACCATAAATATGACTATTGAGCTCACCTTACTAAGGTGCCATCCATCGGAAACCCCTGCTGGGAGTAATTTTTCTCAATTATGCCCTGACAAGGACAACACCTTCCTTGCCGCATACCAGCAATATGCTGAATTGATATTCCGTAAGCTAATCTTTGTTGTCCGAGTCACTATAGGCTCACCCTAAGACTTAACAATCAGCTCCAAACAAGTGCAACCCACTGCTGCCAGATGTCGGAGACGACAATGAGACTAAGGAGCTCGAAGGATGGAACAACAGCAAAGAACCCGAGAATGCAGAAGAAAGTGCAGAGGATGGGTGAAGAGAACAACAAAGGACAAATCAATAACAGGCTTTGCAAGTTCCTCAACCGGTGTTAGGTACCGTGCCGGCTCAAGAGGCAGAGGGGTCGGGGCTTGGCTTCAGCTCTTGCGCTGCACCCTTAGCCAAGTACATGCCCCAAATTTGGAGCGGATCCGACGTTGTCCGACAATAGGACGAGTGGACCGCTTAGGTCTGCTTTGAGGGTCGGGAAGTAAGAGCTGCTAGCGGTGGACCGACTAGGAGCGGAGCAGAGAAGGCAGGGAACGATGCGGAGGGTGGGTAGAAACCAGGGGGATATTTGATAGGAGCGGAGATGACGGAAGGATAATGTAGATAAAGGAAAAGGGGTGATAGGAGGATATTGATAGGGGCAGGGTAACAAGGGAAAGACTTAGAGCACGGCTCTAAGTTGGAGCGGAGGGTTGGAGGGTCGGAGGTGACAACAAGTTGAGACTTGTGTCCAGAGGAGGCAAGGTCCTACTGAGAATTCCCACAAGAGGTAACTGCGAGAAGACAAGTGATATTAAGACTAAGGAAAAATATCTAAGTACAGGATATGTTATATACTTCTATGTGAGGCAGTGATCAGGATAACTATGTAGTAAAGCTATATACCAAGGATATAGTTTGTAAGTACTTTACATAGGCAAAGACATAAGTCAGAGCAGATATCAATATGTACGCATCAGATCAGCGATCGGGCGGTAATAGGAATTACCGGTGATCCGGGAGTAAGAGTCTATGTACCGAAGGGGAAAGTATATGTCTAAAAGGGGAAAGGGATCCAGTGGAATGGAGAGGTTTATGGAAGGGGACTGATTGAGCAGTTGAGCAGAAGCGTAGGGTGGAATGCAGGTTTTGTGATAGAACAGAGCGGAGAGGGTCGGAAAGCGGAGCGGATATCAGTATCGGAGCGGTCGGATCTGGTATATGACAACTGGAATCAGTGATGCATCAATGACAGGCTTTGGTAACACCGAAGCGAGCATCAGTGATGCATCACCACTTGGTGAACTTAACCAATCTGCATTCTACTCCGAGGTAAGGACTTTTCATTATTCTCCCTATGTAATCTAACACTTTGCAGACACAGGCCCAACCTGATGCATCGTTCAAACAGGCCCAGCCTGATGCATCGATCAAACATGCATGGCACAACATTGCCACCATACCTCCCAATCCAATTAGCGTGCTGCAACCCAGTGTGCCTGGTACAATTGAGGCGCTCGAGTCGTCTTTTTCCCATGCTGATCTTATGGCAATGGGTTATTTTTGTAGCGATAACACCACGCAGAACTCATTTCCCCCCACATTCGGCTCATCAGCGCCCTCATTCACTGACACCGGCAGCACTATTGGGGGATGCTATGACATGCGGTATGACACATCCATGTGGAATCTCGCCAATTCTGATTCACAGGGGTGGGAGATGCAAAGCCTGTCCTCCTTCTTGAGCTCTCTGATCTCTGCTGAGCGCAGCACCACCATGACTGAGCAGGATGAGGCCCTTCCTCAGTTCACTTGTCAGTTGTCCATTCTTCCAGCAGCAAATCCTCCTTCTCCAAATGAGCGCACACAGGATCTTGCTGATGCTCATGCTGGTGCTGGTCTTGCTAAGGCTAAGCGCAAATTTAAGTTGAAGCCCCCAGCTGCCAAAGCCAAACACAATCCCGCCATGGGGTCCACCCCCACCATTGCACCCACAAGCACTGTCAAACCCAAGGCCAAACCGAAAGCAAGACCTGTTGCCAAGTCTGGTGTGATAACAGAGCCATCACACACTGCTGCGGATGAAGGCAATACCTTGGTTCACTTGACTGCCCTCAATACTACCACCACAAAACAGAATCCTGTAGCTCAATGTGCATCAAAATGAATCCCAATCAAATCCAAGTGAATGATGTTGCTGATGCCATTGGGTCAGATGGTCTGACATTTGTTGGCATTGGTAAGGAAAAACCATCGGTTTTGGAGGATGT